GAGCTTGTATTGGAAGAAATATATGCAGATAAAGGAGGACATAAATTCTCCCAAGAAGAACTAACAGGATCTGATCTAATTGGTTTCTTAATATTTAATAAAATGTTTATGTTTTTTATGAAACATTATTTTTCATTCCATTTTATTGACGATTCCAAGGACATTTTTAAGTTTTGAAAGTATGATGAATGAAAATGTTGACACTCAATCGTGCATGCTTGATACTTGTTGGGAACTTTCAGAAGCATGTTGGATGTAGCCGCAGCCTATACCTCCTGTCGTGCTTTGATTGAATTTAATAAAAAAGAGAGAATTTAAATATTAAACAAAAGAGAGGATTTAAATATTCCCAAGGGATATAGCCATTACTTCCTTCTTGGTAATATTCCTTCTTCCAATATGAAAGTCATGTCAGGCTTATCTAAGATTGACTAAATATTACAGAGAAGCAGGAAAATGCTTTGGGAGACATTGTGTTTCAGAATATAATCTTTTTCCCTTTTATGTGATGTATCTGACACAGGATTCCATGTTCTTTTGCGGTGATTTGGTGAATATGGGATTGGGAATAATATTGTATTGCTCAAGATGTTTTGAAGTAGTTTGACGTTTTTTTTTTTCTTTTTGTGTCTTGACCAAGAAATTAGGAGAATCCTTTTTCTCAAGGTACCTGAGGCGCGAAAGACACTATTGATCTCAGAGATTGATCGAGTGGCTCAAGTATTTATTTTTTCATCATTTCATTCCTTCTGTTATATATCAGTTATGCTAATTGTATATGTTGCTTGTCCCTGGGGCGGAAAAGGGTTCAAATAGTTATACTTGTAGTGTTGTGCCATGTGTGAGCGTGTGTTTTTTAAAGTGAGAATTACATTGAAATCCAATAGTCCTGGCACTTGAAGCACAAGTTTTGAGAATAACCACTACATAACCCAATGAACCAAACCTAAAAATTGCACATGCAATTCACATTTAACTTTGATTGAGCAGTAAATGACTAAAGAGAGCAAACTCTCATCAAATATGCAAGTATTTCAATCTTTTTGGGTGTATGGTGAGACATAGAAGAGTCTGAGAAAAGTTAAAGGAAAAGAATATACATTTATTGGCCATCCTGGATGGTTGGTTATTTTCAAAGATGAATCTACTTTAATTTTATTATTATTATTTTTTTACAGAACTTTAACTTTAAATTGTTGGTGTTAAAGTTGCATGTATATATAGAGTTTGACTTTTTTCTGGAATTGTTTCTAGATTCTTGTCCAAGTCCTTGTATTATTACTCTTGAATAGCTTTCTCTTATAAGATTTTCTGTTATGAAGAATTGCTTTGTTACGTACTTGCACCATTTATTCAATTATTTAATAATTTAGGATTACAAAGTTCACCGAGATGAAATTCATACTAAGCTGGTCCAGATAATGAGGGAGAGGTTATTGGTTCATCTTCGTGGCCTACCTCAAATTGTTGAAAGTTGGAATAGACTCCAGGATTCTGACCCTCAGCCCAGCCAGTTTGCTCGATCCCTTACCAAGGTAGCTACTTGAATTTATCAATCAAACCAATGCATAGAAGTTTGATAAGAGCCTTTTCCTCTAGTTACTTTAGATATTTGTCCTGGCTATCATGTAAAATTAAGGGATTAGTTCTTTATTTTCAATATCAAAGTATTTTCTTCCGCTTTGCATGCTTGAACACATTGCATGTACGAATGGTTATGACAAATGAAATCCAACATGGTCGGTGCATAATAGCACAAGTCATCTCACAAGTTTGATTAGAATGATCTTTGCATTTAATTGCACTTTTTGCCTTGTTTGTCAACATGTTTCTGATTGACTTGGGTTGAAATCACTGATATCCAGGAAGTTGGGTACCTTCAGCGTGTCCTATCTCGAACCTTACATGAGGCTGATGTTCAGGCAATATTTAAGTAAGTCATACTATGATGCATTTGCTAAATTTTATTCCAGACATTTCTCCTCTTATTATGTTGAAAATTGTAGGTGTTTCATTTGTTTTTACAGATTAAACATTTCATAATGAATATATTTTTCATGCATGGAGAACTAATAAAATTTTTTCTAGAGTTTCTCTGTGAAGGTGATTACTACCAAAGATACATATAATGGTTCCTTTTAGTAGATGAGTTCTGAAGCAGATCAATATTGAGATACATATGTTGGTTCCTTTAGTAGATATGTTAAGCAACCTCTGATCTTATAATAGGGCTGTTCCATTTTAAAAAAAAAATGGATTGCTGCTAAACATCTGTAGATCAAGCATGTTTTCCACATTCTACTACTTGGAAGTTAATAATTTTCTTTGGTGCTACCTTCAGGCAAGTGGTCAAAATCTTCCATTTACAAATTTCTGAAGCATTTTCACGGTTAGACATAAGTACCCCTCAAGCAAAGGATAGGTAATGCCCCTTTGTCCTTTGGAATCAAGGATATTATCACCGAACCATTATTACAATATGCTCCTTGTTCTGACACCCTTTTTCTAATTGGATACCAGGCTGCTTCGGGATGTTAAGCACATTCTTGGCTGCATAAGATCTTTGCCTTGTGATGATTTGAGTAAACCAGACACCCCAAACTGGGGGCAACTTGATGAATTCTTGGATCAAAGATTCGGATCTGAAGCTGGATAATGATGTGAACGTGGAATGGCTATTGTTTTCCTTTTTGATGAAGGGTGTCATATTTGAGGAGTAAATATCAGGATATCAGAGTCAATTTTCGACCTATGTCATCTCCCTTGTACAACTAAAATATCAAGGTATGATGTAAACAAATCCTTATCCTATAGAATTTTGATGGATTGTTGGCAGGTAAAAGTTTAATCACCTTCGAGATCAAATCAAAGTTATCATACCCATAAGATTTATGAGCACTTGACAGTTTTTCGTTTCTAAAACCTCTAGCGGTAGTGTAAGAAAAACTGGTACTTTCATATTTGCACTATTTGTGAGCACTTCTTTAGTCTTCATTTCTCGTTTTAATTTGAGGAACTGCATTGGCCTCCAAAACTTCATTTATATGTGGCTCTGCGCTGAATCTTTCATGATTGATACTACATAGCAAGTTTTATGTTTCTACTACTAAATTTTGGCTGCATAAATTTCTGTTGTAATGTCTATTAGATTTCTATACTTGCGTAGTGAACCTTACCTTTTTGTTACTTCGTATACATTGGCCACTTTGTACTCTCAACTCCAGATCAGGACTACTTGTATCAAATGAGATTGTAACACTTGATTCGCTGGTACTTTGACTTGATTTTATTAGCAATATCATCCGAATGATTTCTGTTGTGTACTAACCAACGGGAAACTTCCAGGTTTTCGAATGCGATGGACAGGTATAAAGTAAAGTATCGGATTCAGATATTTCAACGAAGTTTATCCCCCTTGCCCTTTTTGCTGAAACGCATAACATATTTGTTTGTATTGGCTAGGCCAACGCTTTTTGCTGCCCTAATTGTAGTTATGATGTCTAGAGAAAGAACAGATCAATTGGTTTACTTGAGAAGCTTTAAACAGAATAGATTTTAGTTCCTTTTTCTTTTTTCTTCCCTCCAATTTCAATTGGGTTTTCCGTACAGGTATGCATGTTTGTACTTTGTAGAACAGAATTTATCTTTATTGCTATAAATCAATTATTTTTTTTTCAGTTTCAACTAGCACATCTACTTCTGTTGCGTAGAAGATAATTTATACTTATTTTATATGCTATATTTTCCAATTCTCTACCTTCAAAGTCTTAGAATGAGACTTGGAAAAGTTTTCCTTTTGTTTCTTAGTTAAAAGAAAGTAATTATGACACTTTTGATGCCTTCAACAGAGGGAGGAAACTCCTATTTCAATCTTCGGCGTGCAAAAGCGATGGTGGAATAAAGTTGGGTGCTGTGCATGGAAAATAAATTCTCCATGCATTATGAAATAAGCAGAAAAACCCTCCTCTGGGCACGCTCAATATTGTGGAAAAATAAGAATTGCACAACAAAACTTGATTTACATTCACTATATTTTTAATCAACACTTCAAGTTTCAGGTTTTATATAATAACTTTCTATCTTTCTAAAATAGAAAAATAAAGTGAAATTCATGCTCTCAATTTTGAAAGAGATCTCAACTTATAAACAAAAAAAAAAAAAAACTGGATTGAAAGGCATAATACTGCTATTTAATTTATCACTCAATTTGTAGACCAAAAAAAAAGAGAGAGAGAGAGAGAATATTCAAACCATTGTAAAAGGTTTAATTTTGATTCCATGATTCCAATTAAATTCTAAAAAGTGAGGGAAATTGAGTCTGAAGTCTGAATGGTGAGTGGTTTGAGATTTGAAAAATGGGTAAATGGTTATGGGATCCATTGTATTTTGTAGTTGTAGGGTGTAATTTTGGAAGTAAAAACAGAGGGTCCATGTGAAAACTGGAAGGGAAGCAAGGCTTGAAGTGGACGCAAAACTGTTTTCCACTCCATTTTTAGTAATTCTTAATATTCTCTGTGCCCACACCTCCCAGCTAATCATCATCATTCATCAATTCATACACCCCACCCACCCCCTCTGAATAATAAATAAAAATAACAAAATAATTAATTAATTAATAGAGTGAGCAAGCTGATTAATTTGAAAAAAATAAACTTTTAATGGTGGAATTAATAATAGTTGTTCTGTTTGTAAGGCAAACTGCAGAGGGATAATTTGGTAATTAAACGGGAAGGAAATGGTTTTGGTTTTGGGGTGTAGTAATGGGAGTTTCCCAATTTGGCAAATTCCATAAAAGATAAAACCACAGCACAGAGGGTGGTTAAGTGTCTTTCTCCTGCCACTGCCACTGCCACTGGGCATCCGCATCCGCATCAAAATTTTATTTCTTTCCCACTTGGTTTTTGGGTAATATTGTTGGAAACCCAAGGGCAATTGAGGAAAACCAAGCACTACTTCAATTCTAAAAATGGAAACAGGTAGCTGAAGAATGAAGATGATAATCTCATGCAGCAGGCAGCACCAACCCTAAGGCTCTGTACGTACACAGTCGTCGTCGTCTAACATTTATAAAAAAGAAAAAGAAAAAGATTTCATTTTGAATCTCTTGTTTTGTTAGTCTTTCAATTCCTCCGATCCCCCAAAATCTCTTTCTTTCTTCCGTGCGTCTCAGCCATCATTAGGGCTTCCGTGTTTGTGTGGTGTGTGGTCCATATCGCGATCAGGCCGAGGTGAGGAAACAAATTGAGAATTCGAAGGTAGCATTAATAATAATAATAATGATATTTGGCGTATTTTGTTTTTGAATTTTGCGGTTGAGCAGTAGTACTTGTAGTAGTAGTAGTCGGAAATGGGAAGAGGAAAAATCGCAATCAAGAGGATCGAGAACCGGACGACAAGGCAAGTTACTTTCTCGAAGCGGCGAGCTGGGCTTTTCAAGAAGACTCATGAACTCTCCGTTCTGTGCGACGCTCAGATCGGACTCATCGTCTTCTCCAGCAACGGAAAGTGCTTCGAATACTGCTCCCAACCAACTTGGTAAGTGGTAACTACATACTCACACTCACACTACTACCTACTAAATACCACTACTACCCTACTTGTGTTGATTAATTATTAATTCATTTCTCACAGCATGGATCAAATCATAAAAAGGTATCAGATTTCACTGGCCGGGAGCCGAGCTCCGGACCGGCTGCACGACGGCAACGACCCGGACCCGGTATGGGTATATATCTTAATTTTATTTAAAGGAATCAAAATGGAATAATATATGTTAATAAATATTGTAATGTACAATAATTAGGAAGAACTGGCGAGCCAAATTCGGAAAATGAGAAAAGAGACGGAGGAGCTTCAGGTGAGATTGCAGCGGTACACGGGGGAGGATCTCAGCGCCATTCAGCTCCGCGATTTGGATGAAATGGACCACCGTCTCCAAAACTCTCTCAATCGAGTTCGTGCCAGGAAGGTAACGTAGTTAACTCCAATAATTCTCTAATAACGTTACCCTAATCCCTAATTCCTAATTAAATTCCTGATTAATCCATTTAATTTGCAGTCTGAGCTGTTTCAGCAGCAAATGGACAATCTCAAGAGAAAGGTTATTTTCTGTCTCTCTCTCTCTCTGTAGATCGAACTCCTTCAATTCTTCCTTGTGTGATCATATACAGCGCTTGGGCTTTGTGTGTACGTAGGAGAAAATTCTGGAGGATGAAAATGAGCAAATATATCATATGGTAAGTAATTTAATTAATAATTAATGGAATTAAAAAGATGAGCAGTGTTTTAATTAACATTAACTGGGCGGATTGGGATATATTGGGGTACAACCGTAGATAAAAGAGCAGCAGATGGCGGCGGCGATGATGCAGAAGAGCGAAGAGGAACAGATGATGAGCAGCCACGTAGACATGAACCAGCAGCACCAGCAGATGCATGACTTTATCCCATTCCCGCTCCATCCTCAGCTTCAACTTCAAGTTCAAGTCCAACAAGCTGATCAAGATCATGAGGCCGATGAGCCCAGCAGCGTGCTCCAGCTGGCCCCGCTGCAGCCGCCGCCGTCGCCCTTCCACCCCTTCCGCCTCCAGCTCCAGCCCATCCAACCAAACCTCCAGGACTTCAACCTCCATTCCTCCACCACCACCTACGGTACGCCACACCCATCCTAAACCCTAGTCCCTACCTATATATAATAATAATAATAATAAACAAATTAAACATAACCCCCACTTCAAACTTGTACTAATTAATTTTAATGCTGAATTATTAATGTGTGTACATGCAGAGTAGGAGCGATGGATGGGGGCCGGGGGTTTGGACACACTGCATTCGGGACGATATTCATCTTCATCTTGCTGGTGACTGTTGACTGTTGACTGTTGACTGTTGACTGGTGAGGCTGCCAATTTATCACTACAATTAATTAATTAATTAAGCTGCAA